ACAAGTTTCAGCCACCTCAGCACATGCTCGTCGGGCACCCGGACCCTGAAACGTGAGAAGATCGTCACCAAGGACTGGTTAAAGAAATTCCGCCGGGCAGCTCGGACACGGCCGTACCTCAAGTGCATGACGGCCCGAAAACGCAGGACTTTGTTCAAGCTTGGCGTGAGGAACTTCCCAAGCGAGACTCTTCAGGTCGTCGACATCTCGCAGGACAAGTTTGCCCACTTAACGAACCACTCGCCGTGCGTGACACCAAAGGGCGAGCGGTACTTGACATCGGAGTGCCGGTGCATGCTCCCATTGGAGTCGTTGCGCTTGCAAGGGGCATGGTTCACGGAGGACGACACACGACTGGAAAACTTCCCGCAGAGCCTGCTGGCAGATCTTGCTGGCAATGCTTTTGAAGCGAGCTGCTTCGCCGCGACGTTTTGGGCCACGCTGGTCTGCTATGGACGACTCCGTGCCCTTAATGAGAGCAGCAGGGCAGGTCGTGGTCCCCGTCGTGCACTTGAAGTGCCGGCACTGAGAAGGTACAACACACCGGAGTTCGACTCGCAGGTTCTTTTGGACTTCGATGATTCGGAGGACGAGGAGACACACGCATAGCACGGACGCTCGACTTTCCCGCAGTGCCCAGGTTGAAAATGTGCGTCGGCTACCTAATGTATTAGTATACATACGTAATGTAGTCAAAATTATTGAAATCAAAGTCTAGTCTATGTGGAATCAATGATTCAAGCCAGCATATACGGAATAATACTTTTTGTAGATGTTAGCCAGCAATCGCCCTTTCAAGAAATTATAACTTGGAGCTGCAGCTCATTTCAGAAGCTTCTCAATTTCATTCGTCATTGATAGCACTCTGAGTCTCAGGTTTCACATCCTAGGCATTAGCAATGCATGAGTTTTTTGGTTTGTTTTTGCTGCCGCTGGAATAGGTAAGCCCCGAGTAGGCAGTAGTGCAGTGTGTGTAGTTTTGAACCCCATGCCCGTCCAGTCATCGTCAGGGAGCCTGAACGTGTAATTTCCAAACCCTACACTAGACTAACCCCTTAACCTGTTCCTTAAACCCCTATGGTTTAAACTCCAAACATGTTCCGAACAAATACGATTCGATAGAGCTGCGACTGTCATGGATTGCAGGACACCCAGAGATCCAGACTGCCAGAGCTGCGCTGCTTCCAGTCGGATTGGTCGTTGCGACCACACGCAGGGCGTTTCTTTCTAGTTCAAGTCATATCTGTAATGCTAACTCCGACAGTTCAATAAGCACACCTCGCCGGACCTGGGAATGCAGGGTTTGAAATGACAATTGTGATTTGGAATGCTTGCTTTTCTCATGACAATAGTGAGAAGGGTTGATTACTGACACATATTTTGTTGCCCAATGCCCCGTGATTTGTTTGGCAACTCAAGCAAGTGTGTGCGTGTGTGTGTGTGTGTGTCTGTCTGTCTGTCTGTCTGTCTGTCTGTGTGTGTGTGCAATCCTTGCTGCCATCCAATGTGTTTGAAGAACGTAAGGCGTGCACTTCATCTGTATGTGCTTTTCGTTTCGTTTACCTATGGCATCCTGGTTATCATTGAAATGTGTCGGAAACGCACTTGAAGTGCCCTTGATCTGTTTTTGGTTTTGGCACACCTTACTATTGAAATGCGCTTGAAATGCGCTTGAAATGCGCTTGAAATGCGCTGCTCCTTGCTTTCCTCGAAGGCCTGGCAAGCCTCCCTACCCTTGAAATGCGCTTGAAATGCGCTTGAAATGCGCTTGATCTGTGTTTGGTTTGGGTTTCTCTGCTAAACCACGGAATCCTTCACTTTGGAAATGCAATTGAACTGCGCTTGAAAGGCACTGGATCTGCATTTGCTTTGGGACCTCCTCTTCTTTTATGGAATCCACCTTACTATTGAAATGCGCTTGAAATGCGCTTGAAATGCGCTTGAAATGCGCTTGAAATGCGCTTTCCTCGAAGGCCTGGCAAGCCTCCCTACCCTTGAAATGCGCTTGAAATGCGCTTGAAATGCGCTTGATCTGTATTTGGTTTGGGTTTCGGTGATAAACCACGGAATCCTTCTCTTTGGAAATGCAATGGAAATGCGCTTGCTTTGGGACCTCCTCTTATTTTATGGAATCCACGTTACTAGTGAAATGCGCTTGAAATGCGCTTGAAATGCGCTTGAAATGCGCTGCTCCTTGCTTTCCTCGAAGGCCTGGCAAGCCTCCCTACCCTTGAAATGCGCTTGAAATGCGCTTGATCTGTGTTTGGTTTGGGTTTCGCTGCTAAACCACGGAAGCCTTTTCTTTGGAAATGCAATTGAACTGCGCTTGAAAGGCACTGGATCTGCATTTGCTTTGGGACCTCCTCTTCTTTTATGGAATCCACCTTACTATTGAAATGCGCTTGAAATGCGCTTGAAATGCGCTTTCCTCGAAGGCCTGGCAAGCCTCCCTACCCTTGAAATGCGCTTGAAATGCCCTTGAAATGCGCTTGATCTGTATTTGGTTTGGGTTTCGGTGATAAACCACGGAATCCTTCTCTTTGGAAATGCAATTCAACTGCGCTTGCTTTGGGACCTCCTCTTATTTTATGGAATCCACGTTACTAGTGGAATGCGCTTGAAATGCGCTTGAAATGCGCTTGAAATGCGCTTGAAATGCGCTTGAAACGCGCTGCTCCTTGCATTCCTCCAAGGCCTGGCAAGCCTCCCTACCCTTGAAATGCGCTTGAAATGCGCTTGATCTGCGCTTGATCTGTGTTTGGTTTGGGTTTCGCTGTTAAAGCACGGAATCCTTCTCTTTGGAAATGCAATTGAACTGCGCTTCAAAGGCACTGGATCTGCATTTGCTTTGGGACCTCCTCTTCTTTTATGGAATCCACCTTACTATTGAAATGCGCTTGAAACGCGCTGCTCCTTGCATTCCTCCAAGGCCTGGCAAGCCTCCCTACCCTTGAAATGCGCTTGAAATGCGCTTGAAATGCGCTTGATCTGTATTTGGTTTGGGTTTCGCTGTTAAACAACGGAAACATACTTACCATTGAATTGCCCTTGAAAAGCGTTTCAATCACGCTGGATCAGTTGTGCTTTGCTTGTGTTTCCTGAACCAATGCCATGATTGATACTCGCCCTTCAGCTGCACTTGAAACGTTTTTGGCTGGCACTTGATCTGCCCTCGGTCCCTGGTGGCAATATAATAAAGCCCCGGCAGTCGTGGTCCTTAGCATTAAACTGCAGTTGACATGTGAATGTGCTTGGACACATATAATATAAACCTGTGCAATGAGCTTGATCTGCAGTTGCTCTGTCTCTGCATGGCACTTGCTGTGCACGTCCTGTTGCCTGGCTGGCTCTCTGTCTCTGCAACACTGCTGCAATTCCTCCTTGTGAACGATCTGATCTAGGCAGTTCATTGCTGTGCATCTGCATTTCAGCCCTTGTTTGCGTGCCGATGCATTTGCACTGCATGCACTTGAAACACAAGTGGATTGTCTTACCTGTGTGGTGTACACTTCGATCTAAACCCTTTGTCTATGGTTTCACCACAGCCCTTTTTATGAGCAGGTCGACTCTGAGTGATTCCCAGACATCCTGTGCATGACACACGCTTGCTTTGCTTTAACAACGTCCAGTGCCAACCCTACAGACATGTTGGTCGATTTATCAAGGAAGCTCACAAGGCCAGCCAGCCTGTTCAAGATTTTTGCAGCAAAGACTTTGCATTGGCCCGCACGGTAACACAAGGCCCTCTTCGCATGGAAACCTTTAAAAGAACAGCTTCTCCAAACCATGATGCACGACTTCATATCAAGGCTTCGCAAAACAAAAACCTTCGATCCACGGTTCCTCATTTCGGTATGGATTTCGCTATGAACATGCAAAGTGGACCACTCCGCAGTCTTCAAAAATGACCCCTGTGAAAATCGGACCCGGTCCGAGCCTCTAGGTACGCCCCATCCCCGCTGGTAGGCGTTCCCCGCTTAAGTTGCCGCCCAAAAGGAGCCCTTAAAACACAACACCCCACGAGCCTCGGTGCTGTTACCTGCATACCCGACTCTGTATCCTAAACACTCCACACTAATCGAGGGCCTTTGAGACTATTTACGGTGTGATCATATAGTTACAGGCTAGCCTGGCGAGAATCCGGAAGCAGCAAGATAGTATTTCCAATTCTTCGAATGATTCGGTCTTCTATTGCAGCCATAAATCCTGTTGCCAAAGTTAAGGCGTTTGCAAGTAAAGATCTATAAGGCACGATTAAGACCTTAAAGGCCGAGTGACCCGTGAGACGACCGAGCGAGTGAGTTCTATGCTGAGGGATGTAAAGATGCAGCGTGTGACTCTCAAGGAGCGGTGAGGCCGCAAGCCCCAAGGAGTACGCTTTTAGGTCTTAGTGAAGCCTGGACATAGGCGGTTTCGGTCTGGAGGTTTGGAGCCTTAGGGGGTCGTATTTGGGGACATCTTGCCTTCTTAAAGTGTTTTTGTGCCCCTCCACACTAAGCATAGGGACCCGCAGACGGACCGTACTTGATTCAGCCTCCCACATGAACCTAAGTGCACTTACGGATCTGTTCTTTCTAGCTTCAGGCTTCGCGGTAGCAGGATGCAAGTGTCTGATGCCCAAAATCATTACATGCCCCGAGTGCCGCGGGTTCGACCAGCACTCTACGTCTGGGCAGGTACAAGTAGAGTTTGAGAAAGTGTGATAGTTTGCAGTGTGGATCTCTGTTTCAGCCTTGCGCTCCCTGCGCCCTCAATTCTTGCCGACATACATCTCCAGCACAGAAAGATCGCTGCACCGCACCGCCCCGCCACGACAACATCCGAAGCACACCGCAAAAAAACACCATAAACATTATATGCACGACCGACACTATGCGAGGCAACCAACGCTATACCCTATTCTTCAAACCCTACACCCCTACAAGCCCCTAAGCCCTAACCTCAAACGCCACAAGAAACTAGCTTGCCGAGCCTCGCCATCCAAAGCCGCTGGCGGAGCCATGGATCCGCGGAGGCCATTGAGCCCCAAAGGATCGCGAGGCGCGCGGAACTGTGGGAGGATCACGGGGCCTATGAAGCAGGGCAATGGTTTTGATAATGCTTTCTTGAGGAGCTTGGGTAAGTTGTAGTGTCCTTAAGGGAGGGGGGTGCAAGGGGGGTATATAGCCTAATTATCCTCCCTAGTACTCCCTACGGTTCCCTTACAGTCCCCTAAGGATTCCTTATACCCTCCCCCCTTGAACCACCCTCCCTTAAGGATCCTATAAGTAAGTGTTTCCATAAGGGTGTCTTTGAGGGTTTCTCAGTGTTTTGTATTAGAGTTCTGTAGGGAGCTGCTAGGGCTAAGGGGACTTAATAAGCAGGCCTATAAGTACTTGCAGTTGTGGCTGCTTCACCGGCCGGGGGCCTTACATAACCCCGCTTACAAGGTTCCCTCATCCTTGAAGCAGAGTCTAGCGTTTTGGAGTCTAGGCTTTCTGGCTCATGGGAGATTCCGAAAATTAGGGGTACCTTATGTTGGGGTCCTTATAGAAGGATCCTACTATTTAGGGTATCATATTAGGGTCCCCTATTTTCGGAAACTCCCTCATAGGTTCTACAGGTTTCGACAAGGCTTGACAAGGATTAAGGGTTTGTAGTAGTAGGGTTTAGTGGTTTCAGATTGGATCCAGGATTCATGTTTTGTGGTTAGGTAAATTAAATCGTTGTCGTTTGAGTGTTTACATCATAGGTGAAGCTGCCCCCACCCTCTAATAGTGACGATAAGGATTATAGTAGGGCCCTATTATATTCCGATTATGTATACCACTATTACAGGGTGGGGGCAGCTTCTAAATCATAGGCCAATGTTTTCAGTGTTAGGGCTTGGCTGAGGGCTTAGAGAGGGAGGATTTCAAGCTTGGGCCCCTCTTGAGTTTCAGAGATTTGGGAACAGGGTAAGGGACTATGGAATAGATAGGCCTGTGTATTTCTTAGCAACATCCCCTCATAGTCCCAACAATTTTGTACTATGATAATATGCCCACCTTCCGCATGTTCATGATTGCGGCCCCTGTATTGGAGTAATAAACACATAGACGAACCCCGAACTAGGTATCGATTTGGGATAGTGCTTAATTTGCCTGATTGAGTAATATAGAGCCCTAGTCATAGATAGTTTTGGGGGCTGATGAAATCGACACCTAGTGAAAGGAACCTTGCAGAACACCTGACAATCAGGGGTTGCCAGTCCCGGCGGCTTCGGATCTCCTGCCGCCCTCGCTCTTAACGATGTGGATACCACTGTCATGGCCTACGAGTCCTGGCTTGCATTGTGCCTTTCTAGGATGTACTGCGACGGTCGTGCCCTACCCTGCTTTTGAGGGTCCAATATATTTTATAACATCCCAGCCAGTGGCCGCAAGACGAAGGTTCGTCAGGGAAAATTCGAGAAAATTGAATTTTCCAGATAGGAAACATGCAGAGCTAACAATCTACTTGGAGGATGAGCGGACTTAATCAGTAGGGTAATAAGTCTCATATTTGTTGCTACAAGTGCATACAACTATATCTATAATTCATGAGCTTACAACATCTTCTGAAGCTTCCTACTAAGTTCAGTGACCCTTCTTTTTTCAAAGGCACGATCTAAGTCGTCCGTGTTCGTGGGTCGTGGCAGGGGCAGAAGTTCTGCAGAAGGATCGGCGGTCCTCAACATATGGCGTACCTTTAGAGGGTTCCCGTCAGGGCTAAATAGGCATGTCGGGTGGCTGTATAGGGTTTACCGGAGAGTTTGATGGACTACTTGGACGGTTCAGGGAAGTGTACACGCTATGCTCAACTGTAAAATCTCTGCAGTGTTCACCTGATCTCCATGCACACATACTCTAACTCTAAACCTTGATCCCTCGTATTCCAAACACCGGCAACTGTCACCCCACATGCGTGCGCCGAGCTGTAGCAGCCCAAATCCCAAATTCCCGAACTGCGGCTCTCCCGCGGTCCACTGCTTTGGAGTTGAAACAAACTAGACCCACAACCCTAAACTCTAAGAAGTACCCCAGGCCCAATGGCTGTCGGAGTTGCAGCAGCAGGACTGCGCTGGGTGTAGGGTTGCGAAAGGCCCACAAGCTCCCCGCAAAAAAAAAGCAGGTACCCTGTCACGGGTCCTCTAGAGGGGAGTTTAGGGGTCAGACAGATGCGATTTAGCTCTAGTAGGACAAGCAGCTCTGCTCGTTCTCATTGTCACTGGTTTTTTTTCGGCGACAGGTTTGGCTTGACACACCACTTTTCATAGTACTGGCCCATACAGACTTACTGGGTGATTTGGAGGGTTCAGGCAACTGTCTGAGGTGCTTTGGTGGTGGAGGTATCGCATGAACTGCACATCGCCTCTGGACAGGTTTGATTCGGTTTGACTGTTTCCAATTAATAGGGCTTCCGTTCGATTCTTACTTACAGACTCATTAAGGTATCCAGGGAGATAGGATGAAGTGGCATGTATCTACTCGTTGCATGTATTTCGAAAAACTTTCAACTCCCCCAAAATCGCATCACTGTCGCTCAGTTTTGTGGGCCCAAACTCTCCCGGGTTGTGGAGGGCTTTGGATTCAGTTGAGGGTCTGTGTCCTTGGGAAGGTCTCAGTTCATGTGGATGCTCTCTGTCAATGTGCCGGCTACGTGGTTACTGACTTGCTCGACCCGGTGACAAGTTCGAGGGTTTCCGTTTATGAGCTGCCCTAAAGGTCCGTGCTCTTGTAAAGTATACAATTATCCAGGTCCGAAAGGAGATGCTACACAGCACCCTTGGGGCCAAAGTATACACCACAGGTACAAGGACTCACAGTAGCATGGTAGCAAGCTTGTTAGCTTTATCCCCTCCTCCGCTTCAGTGCTTGTAGGGCGTGCTTTGTAACCGTTGGTAGCCTAAGAGTTCTACATGCAGGCCGTAGAGAACAGCTACCAATCCAACACGTTAAACTACGACTTCGGCAGATCTGTATAGGCCACAACCCACCAATCATCCCAACGGTCCCAACGGACGGGATGAGGTAAATCAAACTTGCGCGACATCGGATTCTAAGTTCGGAGACCTATCAACCCCAGTCGAACCCTAATCCGACCACCTTTACGCACTCTAAACACTAAGCAAACTAAGGGTTTAGGGTTCTCAACCTCACCTACACCGCCCAAATCCTAAAGCTTGAAGCCGCAGGCGAGCCAATCGCGCAACAGCCAGCGTGCTGAGCTCGATGTGTGGGGCCGAGCCTAAGCGATATGACCTCATATGGGGACTTCAAGGGGACCTGCTATGCATTCTTCAGCCACTTACATCAAGACCGCCCGATATACCCAGCAATTAAGTCCCTTTTGAGGTTTTGGGGTTTAGATTGGGTGTTCTATGGCACGGGATTCAGGTGAGATTGAGTCTAGGGTGTAGGGTCTCAGGGTTCAGGACTTCAAGCTTCAGTGCAGTATGGGACGGTGTTTAGTTTCATTTCTGTTTCTTGCCCTCAGACAGGACTTTTTAGAATGGAGCTTATGAGAAAAGATCCCGATCTAGTTCTCGTTCTCCTTCACTCTTGGGCTACAGTATGCCAAGAGAGTGCCAGCTCTCAGTACTAAAACCTGGCTCCCCTAAACATAAACCCTAAACCCTAAACTCCTGAACCCTCATCCAGGCTGAGCCCTCAACCCCAAGCAGCCGTATTGAAAGAAGCACATGCAGCTCCCTCCTGCAACTGTAGTCTTCAATCATTGAGGGTTCTGTTGAAGTGGCTAGGTACTAGGCCTAGTTCAACATGCAGCCGAAACAGCCAGATTCTCATTATAGCTGCTCCAAAGCACGAATATGTTTCCTCCGACCTGCTCGTTAGTGTTCAGGATGTCCGGGTTTCTGAAATTTCTTAAGTGCTTCCAAGAGTAGACGACCCTGGTCGGACATGTTACGACCAGGTCCTGCGAGACTCGATTGCGGCACAGGGTGGCGAACTGGCTGATGCTAAGCTTCCATTAGCAGTGTCGGGATTTTCGACGGGGGGTCTTAAAGCCGTGTTTGAAGGCTCTAAATTATATGGGTCCTATATGGAGCTGAGGGTGTTTGGCTTTAGAGTCGTATTGTTTTTGTTTTCATGCTGCCAGTCGACTTTAGTGTTCAACTGGAGACAAAATCCTGAATTTTCTTCACTACCCCAATTGCGGAAACCTTGGTATGTCTCCGTAGTGGATTCTACGGGATTGTGTCTATCATCTGGTTTGGGGTGGGCTTCTTGACCTTTGATTTTGGCGTCAATATTTGTGCTCAGGCCTCCGACTAGGTTCAGAAGACTCAACAACTACGTTGTAAGCGGGCCAAGCAGTTGAAATAAGCTCGATCAATTTCAAGCATCGCCATGTACAGCAAAATCTAGCCTAAAGCGCCAGACGAATTTGTCAAGCCTTCTTGCTGGGCCCCAAGAAATTAAGCCTTCAGTCGTCATACTGCCAGTTTCAAGCAGCCTCATCCTGGCCGGAGGTGGCCTTTAAAGGCAACATCCATTAAGATGCCTTCCTAAGCGGGTTCCGATTACCTAGTGAAACACCAGTGACCACCCACCCTACTTCGCGACTCTGCCCTGTCCCCTGAAAGCCACGTCCCACGCCGCGTTCAGAGTTGCAGTGTTGTGGGTTCACGCTATTCGGGCTTTGAGTTGGGGTATGAGGTGTACGCTCTTAGGGTTTGGGGTTTCGTTTCCGCATTCAACATGCAATGCCAAGTTATCCTCATCCTCATTCCAAGTTTTAGGTAGCACCTTGGTGAGAGAGCAACATTTACGGCCGAAAGCCTACATCCGAAACCCTAAACTTAGGGCCCTACACCCTGAAGCCCGCAAAACCCCAGAACAGTCACGCAGAACAGTTCAGGAGTTCAAGCGTCATAGCATGACGGTGGTCCAGCATCTGCAGAACCAGGCCGGATCTGGGAAGCTTGCGTATTTGTGTTATATCGAAGGGTTCTTGTACCTACATGCATATAGCATGTCCACTGCAATCCTGAGGAGGGGCTTCCATATAGGTACTCTAGGATCTATAGGATCTACTATATGAGCACATGGATGACATGGACCCTCGGGGTAGGATGCACTGTTACAGGGATGTTGCGACAGCTTGTAAAGCCAGGCTTGGTGTTTTCCTTGCACCTATGAAGGGCCTCTCTAAAGGATGCACAACTGAACACATGCCAGTCGTCAGTCGTCGAGGTTCTATGAAAGTTTAGGGCCTGTAAGGCCTACAACCCGAGTCTAAGTCTAACTTTTCTGGGCTTGCAAATAACGCCGAGACAGGCTAGGCTAGGCACACCGCAGTCGTGAGCACAATAGGTGCACAATGCTATTCCTTGCGTCGCTAAAGGGCGTGACAAGTTCTCCCAACCTGCGGCCAAGCACCATCCATCCGCAGCCCGCTTGCATCCCCTGAGCTAGTCGCAAGCTCGCAGCCTGAGATCACCAACATGACCGAAGCAGCAGTAGTAGTCGCTGCTGCCCTAAGCTGGGGCCTTGCTCGGCAACCTCTATGCAGACAACGTCCGCCAGGAAGTTTGGAAGGACGGCTTGTGCATCAAGGAGCATCTTACGCCAGTTGCCGATGATATGGTCGATCGTGGGTGGTTGAGGACCTACAAACTCAAGGGCACGGGTACAGCACTGATCACTCCAGGTCTTCCGAAGGCATTCTCGCGGGAGAATGCCGATGCGCAGCAGGCAAAACGAGATGTCATCTTTCATTATCAGGTAGATAACACTGAAGATGATGCTCGCGACAATTTCACCATTCCACAGGAAGCCATTCCTGCTTTCCTTGCACACAACGGCATTGAGGTTATTGGCTCCCAACAGCTCCGAGCTTGCATTCAGAGACACTTGAAGGGAACGATGTCACTGCTCCAGTGCCGGGTTGTCGGAGAATATTCTTTGTCAAAGTATCGTCATGGAATGATGCTTTCGGCAGTGGACACCATCGGCGTGCTGAAACCGGGCGATGTTGCACTCTTCCTGAAAATGGATCTGAATTATGCGGACGAGTATCTCACGGACCCGACAAGATTCACGGACCGCCTCAAACACGAAATTATGGAAGCAGTGTTCACGCAGAATCTCCCAGACTTGCCGGAATCCTCCAGAAAATTCCTGGAGAATCTCAAGCCAGTCCTTGCTCAGCACATTCACATACGAGCAGTCTCGCAAGGATCCATTGAAGTGATATGGATTGCTTCCGGAGCCTTCTTCATTTGTTTTGCCTTCGTTGCAGCTTTGTTGCTCGGCAGGGACTTCAAGGTCAGCGGCGGCATTGCCGGTGTAGCAGATGCAGACCTTGAGGCGTGTGCCCAGCCACGGGTTCAGATGGCTCGGACCGTGTCGCTTCGCGTCCAGCCAGATGGTAGCTATCGGATTACCGGTACCTATTACACTGATGCGCCCGCAGGTCGGTGTGCAATTCTTTGATACACACTAGCATGTCAAAAAGGGCACTTATACGATGCTTTCAGGCAACTCCATGTTTCTAATCCTTGGTAGCACGGCCCTCCTGCCATGTCCCTTCGAACTTTCGACTTGAGTGAACACCCACACTACTCAATTCACGAATCAGTTGAATATTTACGTATTCACTAGAAAGCTAGGCACATAAGAAGACTTAGCTACCCATGTGGTTGCTACACGTCCGAATTTGGAGAGGCCGTAGCAAGCCAGCAAGTGCAGTTCCATGACAGACCGAACAGGCAGAGTTCTGCCTCATGGGTCAGCAAGCCGAAATCGCAAAAAGCGGTGTGGGCTTCGAGCTTGGGAGCCTCATATTACATGGTGCCTTACCAAAGCCTTACATACGGCCTTCCTTTACGCCCTGCTTAGAGGACCAGGGACTTAGTAAGTAAGGTTGCAAACACCTTGCCTGGGTTTCAAACAAGCCCCTTACTAAAAGCCCCTCTTACTACATCCCGGCACGCCTTCATCCAGTAAGTACGATGCGACCTTCAACTCAACCCCACACGAGACCCCGAAAAGTCATGATCCGGACCGGTCTGGCAGCAAGCGCATGGGATTGTCGTTCGTGTTGCTTCGGGATTCTGACTACCTATCTGTCCTCTTTCTATCCATCCATCTATCTATGTATCACTGTCTGTCCATGTCTATCAATCCGTCTTTCTGTCTGTTTATTTTATGTTTATCTACATGTCGACCTGTCTATCTATCTCCCTATTTGTCTATACGGCGCTTATCTATCTAACTCGCCATCCATCCATCCATCCATCCATCCATTCATCCATCTATCTATCTTCTATCTACCCATACTTTTTCTCCATAGAAGCTTGCATATGCGATAAACTTGAGCTAGCACGGAATCTACGAAGATGCAGGAAGCCGTCAATCAGTTGCAAATTTCTCAAGCCCAAACAGTGAAGCTTATAACGTTTGAAGATCCAGCAGTCTACACGAAGCTTTAGACCCTACATATCCTAAACCCTATAAACCGCCGAAAATCCCTGGCCTTATGCAATACGCCCAGAAACTATATAACCCAATTGGTAAAGCCTTCAAGCAGGCTCCTTGACTCCGAGCAATACCTTAAAAGATACCAATACCTATGCCCTCAACCTCCAACACCCGGAAGGTAGTACCTCAAGTTCGTGTTCCCGCAATGCGAAACATTTCACCCCCCGGAACCAACACATCCTAAACCCTATAAAGCCTGCACTCCAAAATCTCAAGAATCGCAGTTGCCCAAATGCTGCTGAAGGTCGCCGAGCTTCGAGAGCGAGTGACGGAGCTTGTCGAGATGAAGCCGCGAGCTGCGAGGGACAGTAATTTGTTGTTTTGTTCGGGAAAGAGGGGCGCATGTTCAAGGCTTTCCGGGTGAAAAAGTGAGATCGAAAACCTGGATTGAGTTGCTTTTGGGCTTACGGGTTTTATGGAGGCTGGGCATGCCATTATCATCGGATTTAGGAACAGGCCTACGGCATACGGTTTTCCATGCGAAGGTCGTTCCACATCCTTGCACATTTGGGTGCCATAGCAGACTGTAGAAAGTGGTGGAGCTGTCCTGCGACCTGTTGAAGTCGCAGACCTGAACAAAACACTAGAATTAAGACCTCGTGCAACCGCCGAAGCCTGAACCCTGAACCTTCTGAAACCCATCAGTAAGCCCCAGAGGCCCCAAACCCTGGAAATCCAGAAGCCCTTATGAACCCTACACTTGAAAAGCCTGGCAGCGAAACAAATCCTAGAAACCCGGAAACCCAAATCCACAAATCCTTTTCATCCTAAAGCGCAGCCTATCGCAGAGGATCTCTTCGGCTTCGGTGGGGCATCTGACGGTGGGTCGCCGCCGGCACGCTCCATGCTCCGAGATGAAGGCTTAGGGTTTAGGGCCAGGGCTTACAGGGTTTAGGGCTTCTGGGGCTTATAGGTATTGGAGGGTTTGGGATGGAAGTTTATGTTTCAAAGGGTTTAGGGTGTACTTGTGGAGTTTGGAGTGGGATCTGGGCTATCCCCCACCCCCAGTATGATTGTTAGGTTGTCGCTTGTGCCCCATCCCAGAGTCTCAGGCGGAGTAATCGCTTCACCCTATTACTAAACCCCCCTAATATAAAAATACTCCTTGGCCCCAGAATTTCGCGGTTTCGGGCCCACAATTGAAAATTAAATAAAAACATTAGGGAGGGGGCTAGGATTGTATGAGTTTTAATGGAGCCAAAGATTACAGCTGTACTAATCCAACCGAAGGGACCATGGCTTTAGGGTTTAAGGGTTTAGGGCTCAGGGCTACAGCTTTAGGGTTTGGGCTTGAGGGCTCAAAGTCTAGGGCTCAGGGCTTTAGGGTCTCGGGCTCGAGGTTTAGGGCTTCGGGCTTTAAGGCTTAGAGGTTTAGGGCTACCCCGAAACCCCGCCCCCCCCAAATAGTAAAACACTAGCGGGAATCAGTTTTTATAGAAGGGGGGCGTTTAATATTAGGGGGAAGGAATTATCCCCGGAGTGCCCGCCCCTTGATCGTGTTTGCGAGGCCACCGCCCACAAGGGACTGTACAGCAACAGACCCTTGTCCGACATTGGCTTGTTCTTGCTTTGGGCGTCTTCTCACGTCAACCCGAACGAATCACAGAACCCACGGCACATAGATCCCTTAAACAGCTCGCCCGTGAAATCCGTGGGCATTTCCTGTGCTTCCATATAGAGTAGAAGCAATAAAGTTGGAATACAATTCTCCTCATGCCCCTAAAGTAAGGTGTAGGGAATCCCAGCATAAATCATCCTAAACCCATTTTCCAACTTTCTGGCAGTAACTATAACTGGTGCATTTCCGCCAAAGTGCAGTCGAAGGGCTCTGGATTTTGGCGAGCCCTGAACTGTTCGAAACCCAGACCCTGCAGCGCTCGATACCGCCCAATACAGTACATTGTGATGCTATATGGGAGTTTCCGAAAATATGGAGTACCTTGTGTTGGGGTCCTTATAATAAGGATCCTACTATTTCGTATAATATATTAGGGTCCCCTAGCTTCGGAAACTCCCATATCATAGTCTACATCTAAACTATAGGCCGGCTCGTGTACTTGCCCTTGGGCTGCTGAGGATCTCTACACTGATTGCGGCCCTCAACACCGTGCAGGAGTCGAGCTTTTCGAGTTTGGGCTTTCTAGGGGGGTGGCGTTTCTGTTGACGTTTCAGGGCTGTGGGCCTTCCGCGGTTTAGGGTCAAGGGTTCAAGGTGCAGGGCTTTGGGTTCTGGGGATTGGTCATCTTGAAGTTCGTGTGCTCGGTGTCTGCCAGCGGATTCAGGGCACCTATATAATCAAAAGTACCTATATAGGACTCCCTTTAATGCCTAAGTACGAGCTTCATAGGCACATGGATTGGTAGAGTACTTCTACGCCATCTGAACCCCGAATCCTTCCCAGTCTGCTCGGATCGGTGAAACCATTGGGGATGGGGGGAGGGCCCAAGGTGGTTTAAGATAATTAAGTCACTCCATGCGGGAGTCTCACATGCTGCAATTGTGTGCGCACTCCTACGTGGTTCGCCGCGTCGGCGAGCTGCCGTATGAGTGCAAGGAGCGGCACGTGGTGACCTCGGCTCAATGCTCTGGAGGCTCGGCTACCAAAGAATCCAAGTTTGTGTCGGTGATTCGGCAGATGTGCGATGCAATATGGCTCTTGCACACTGCTGGCTTTCTCCATTAAAGCCTTTCGCTTCTATGGACCCCTCGTCAGTGGAACACGCCCGGCCAATACATGTCGCCAGAACTGCTCAAAGCTCACAGCCACCGAGGATCTATGCAGTCCTTTTTTGGGGCGTCTTGATTCCTGAGATACTGCAAGAGCCTGGATGAGCCTGCTTTTTGCCAGGCGAGCAAAGCTTACTGCAAGGCAAAGGTGTCCTCCATTTTTATTCGAAGGGATGATCACACCGCGAACTGAAGCTGCATGACACGGAGTAGCATGGACTGGCAGCGTGCCTTATCTGCGCGGGTTATGTGGTTCTATAGGTCTCCCAGGGCTTCCGTGTACCCAATAGTTGGGGCCATGGCCTATGTACCCAACAGTTGGGGTCATGGCTCAAAACCCCCTGGTTCCAGGAACCGAACCGGTTCCAAACCCCCTTGCCGGGCAAGGTCATTTCATAGGGCTATGATTGTTGATACCTTCAAGTAGTTGATCTGCAGTTTCACCGAGTGGGAAAAAACCTTAACGGCACCTTAAAGCCCCTAATTCAATATGGAGACAATATTATCAACCATAGGAGTCGTTGTCGCATGATTTTGCATTCCGAAAGGGGCTGGCATTGGTGTCATCGTGCTCGATGTTTGGGTCCTTGATGTTCACATCAGGGTGTGATTGGGATTTCGGTGAGCGATCGCCCGGAGAGTGGACGGGATATGGCTCTGCAGTGAAAGTTTGCATTGAGTGTGAATATGGACGTTGGGCGGAATGTTCGATGCATCATGTTCGGATATAATTGTGTATACATATGTGTGTGTGCATGTTCAACGTTGTTACCAATCACCTCATGAGGAGGCGATTATCAAGATGATCATATCATAAGCATATATTGGATTCGGGTTCCAAGATTGCAGCCTGCACTTTGAACTAGCATAATGTAGTATGGCCGTGGCTTTCGAAATGATGTTTCGACTGTGTGCTGGCACTACGGCGGCTGTGAGAGCTGGCACCATGATATGCGAAGAGCCTCTCGCCTGGTGAAGCTCCGTGGCCGGACGGATGCCTCGAGAGGTGCGCCCTTCCATCCCAGCTATCAGTGCAGGCATTTGTGAAGCTTCGAGCTGCAGTGCACGTGTCGTCTAGCTGAATCGGATGTTGGCGTCTGTGTGTGTGTGTGCGTGATTATGGAATAGGAGTTGCTGCAATGCATGCTGTAGCATTTTGCAGAAGGCAGCTGTGCAGCTTTTTACCTTGTACCGTCATGTCGTGTGGCCAGCCGGCGGCGGAACCTGAAGTGGAGGTCGAGGTTCCTCGTGACGACCCGGAGTTGCTGGGTAAAGATCATTGCATGATATACGACAGTTACGAGTGCCATGTAGTTTTACATTAAATACTTTATTGACGAATTGAGGTTGGAGACTCTGCAGGAGATTTTGAACGAATGGATGCTGTCCAAGCAAGACAACAACCATTCACTGGCCTCAGAAATTCGTCGCAGTGATGTCATTTGGCGTGCATACAGGATCGAACTTTGAGATAGATCGATCTATATACTAGATCTATAGATCTATATATAGATCGATCTGATCACACTTAAGGATCGCGACTGCCTGCCGGCCAGGGAGTACATGTCCGAAGACGCTGTTCATGAAGCCCATGAAATTCTGCAGAGACTTTATGCAAATTTCGGCATGAAGCAGCCTACGATCACGAAATTCAAGGAGCCCTCGCTCGCAAATACGACGGTCCAGCAGGGTGGCACATAATAATTCATAATGTGATCATGATCATATAGCTTGCTGATCATGAGGCCGCCTTTAAGTGGGTGGAGGAAGAGCACGAGCTGCTGCCATCTGGATACAAGAAGAAGGAGGTGCAGGCAAGCATGTTGTGTATATATATATGTGTGTAATGCATGTGTATGTGTATTTCTGCATATGTTGGCTATGCAGGCCTGGGTGGACCTCAACGCGGGCACCGTACGCTTGCGGGCCATGTACGGAATCCGGCTATACCGTAGAACCCCTGATAGATCCAGGACTGGGCCGGGAGTTGTATAAGAATCAATGAATCCCTTGCAAGTATACGCAGGACCCAGGAGATACAGCATCTCAAGGACATCCTCGCATTGGTTTGTGCGACAGTGCAGCCGCCCGATGGGACCGGCGGCGCCGGTGACGACGACGACGACGACGAGGACGTCGACGATGGCAGTGCGCCTACCGCGGAGCCGGTCGCCGAGAGTGCCGACCCGGAGCCCTCAGTGGAGCCGCCGGCTGATGAGCCGACGGAGGAGCGGGGGGAGTCGACCGTTGAGCCGTCGACTATCGAGTGTGCCGAGCCCCCAATTGCAATTCGAAGTAGTTGATCCCCAGAAGGAGCTTGCCGTGGAGACGGGCAAGTGTGCCGAGACTTCAGAAATTGCCTTGGAGTCGACGGGTGAGAGTGCCGAGTCCCGGAAGGAGTTCCTAATTAGCAGTGAATCGCAGACACTTGAGTGTGCGGAGTCCCAAACTAAGCACAAAGCCCCAAACCCGAACCTCTATAAACCCTAAAGGTTCCGGAGATAATGATTGCCCTGAACTCGACTTGCTGAGCTGACGATTTGTGTGCCGAGCTCCCAACATTTCAACAGGAGATTGGTGTGGAGTCGACTCCTGAGCCGACGGTTTCGGGCACAACGCCCCAGAAGGAGCCGTGGATCATAGCATGTACACTCGAGTGTGCGAGCCCCCAAAATAACAATATGATTAACCCCAATGCAATGCAAGCCCCAAACCCTAGAAGCTTAAACCCTGGATCGACTGTTTCAAGTAATAATTCCCCGCGAAGATGTACAGTGAGCGAGCTTACGATCGAGTGCCCTTTAGGAGACTGCGCATGCCGTGGAGTCGAATGAGCCGACGGTTGAGCGCGCAGAGCCCCAGAAGGAGCCGTGGAGACGATGAGTGTGCCGAGCCTTTAAACCCCGAACCCTGAAACCCTTAAGTATATTTATATTGCAGTGGGCCCAACTGTCTTGGCCAAATTTTAACAGAGTACTGCTAATAACTTCTCCCGAAAACGGTCGAGTCTGCCGAGCCCCAACAGGAGACTGCTGTTGAGCCGACGGTTGAGCACGCAGAGCCCCAGAAGGCCTATATCCTGAAACCCCAAACCCAACTGACGGTTGTGCCCAGCCCTCAACAGGAGATTACCACGGAGTCGACAGAGCCGACAGTTGAGCACGCAGAGCCCCAGAAGGCCTATATCCTGAAACCCCAAACCCAACTGACGGTTGTGCCCAGCCCTCAACAGGAGATTACCACGGAGTCGACAGAGCCGACGGTTGAGCACGCAGAGCCCCAGAAGGCCTATATCCTGAAACCCCAAACCCAACTGACGGTTGTGCCCAGCCCTCAACAGGAGATTACCACGGAGTCGACAGAGCCGACGTTTGAGTATGCAGAGCCCCAGAAGGACCGGTATATCATTATATATATGGACATTCGAGAATGTGCCGAGCCCCCAATAGGAGATCGCCGTGGAGTCGACAGAGCCGATGGTTGAGAGTGCAGAGCACCAGAAGGACCGTTAGCCACCCAATTGCAATCCAGAAATTAATACTTCCCCGGAAGATGGTCGAGAATGTGCCGAGCCCGTAATAGGAGATTGCCACGGAGCCGACGGTTGAGCGCACAGAGCCCCAGAAGGAGTCGTGGAGACACTCGAGTGTGCCGATCCCCAAACCTTAAACCCCTAAACCCTAAAGGAGGCTGCCGTGGACGTCGTGCCGACGGTTGAGCGCACATGTGCCGAGCCCCGCAAGAAGATTGCCCGCAAGGAGACGACTAGTTGATCCGACGGTCGACTGTGCAAAGCCCCGGAAGAGCCCCAAACCAAATACCCCAAACCCCGAAAGAAAACCACTAAATCCGAAAGGAGATTAACCTGGAGCTTGAGCCGCCTCAGTGTGCCGAGCCCCACGAGGCGACGGTTGAGTGTGCAGAGCCCCCCAAAAAGGATCAATATGAGCCCCCAGATCTTCTGAGGTTGCTGTGGCCATGGAGTCGACCGTGGAGCCGACTGACATGTGTGCAAAGCCCCACAAGGATCCGGAGCTCGCCGCGGAGGTGTGCTTCGCGAAGGGTGCGGAAGAAAACGATGATGTGTACATGTATTCGAAACGGTACACGTGTTCGGAAGATTCCCAGAACCCGTTCCCTGTGGATGGTCCAGCCATCTTTGAGGCCGGCCTACTGCAAGTCTAGTACAAACAACGTGCATGTATCGATTAAATCGCATACTCAAAACAACACCACCACAACAACAACACCCAAACCACAACACCGAACAACAGAAAGCTTGAAGTGTGACATGCATAGACGAATCAATTTCTCTCTTTCCGCCACTCATTCATTTGTGCAGGCGACAGCTACGAGTGGTACAAAGCCAGATGGGGCAGGCCACATGGCCGAGGAGGCCACATGTGAAGTGTTGTAGACTTTCCGGGTCCGAGGATACGGGGTTGCGCTTAGGGGTGTAATATATGTATATTATTATTATTATATATATATATATATATATATATTAGCAGGAATAAAAAGTTTCTGAACAAGATGCTCCTAACGTTAACTATATATTATGCCCGATATATCATCTGCGGCTTTAAAATTCTAATGTCTGAAGGTTTGAGACCTGTATCCTCTTTTTCTACCGCCCCCATAGCAGAAAAAAAGCGAAACCCTAGGAGCCCCTATATGAACCCTATAACGTTAACCCTAAAGCGTAAAACTTCCGGGGTTCGCAGGTAGCTTCGTGCAAGGGGCAGGGTGTGCGCATCTGGGTTTAAAATCCAAACAGACGGCGAGGGGTGGAGGGGGGAAGGAGGGGGGCTGGGGGACCTTGCCCTACCGTGTTCCAATCGCTGTGCAGGCGACAGCTGATCCTCTCCGCACGGCCGACAAGGCACAAGATTATAGGGGATAAGCAGCACATATATATATATATATATGTATATACATATTGTATTTGGGGCTTGGGGCTTCGGTTACACGGGATGTAAAGGATCAGGGTTTTCGGGTTTGGGGGTTAGAGTTTGGGGCTTGGGGATATGTCTATATATATATATATGGTGTTGCATTCATCTTTTGGGCCGGACGGGGATTCGAGGGTGGATTTACAGGGTTGGGGGGTTTGGACTTTTGTTTTGGGAGCTTGGGGCTAGAGGTGTGCTTCGTAGCTGCTTTGGGGTGTTGGGCCGGCTGTGGGCTTCAGACTTACAAGTTGTGGAGATTGCATTGCGTATTCTATGGCTTGGGATTTCGGTTTTCAACGGTTCAATATTTTAGCCATTGCAATTGAAGGGCCTGGGGTTTGGAGGCTCGGGGCTTGGAAATTTGGGTTTAGCGGCTTATGTGGTGCCGAGGGCTTATGGTTTTAACGGATCAACCCTAAAGCAGCTTTATGGACAGTTTTCTGTTCGATGTGTTGGGGTGGATCCCTGAGAACTCGGAAAGTTTGTGATTCAACCGCACTTGCACCCTAAACTCTGCACTTAAAACCCTTATACTCTGCATCGGCAATATTGATGTACATAGAAGCACGACCTGCGAGGGTGGTAAACCTAGACCTGCAAACGTGAGTCTCGTCCTATAATCGCACCCACTGAAAAGCACCCTGGACCGCCAGATCCTCAAAGATTCTAGCCTTTAATGCTAGACTTGGAACCTCCTGTAAGTCCAATATTCGGCCAGAATATTAATTATACCCTACCACTACTTGCACGTCGGTTTCCTGATGGGGCTTACTGCTTGCTAGTTACTCGAATGATTTATCCTAAGCCTTGGACCCAAGATTCTAAATCCTCAACCCGAAACCCGTTACCCTCATAAATTCATGATGTCTTACGGACTTTTCATGGGCCCTTGCATGCGAGTGTGTCGTGATATTCTGTTTGTGTTGGACGGACTACTTTTCTGAGGCCAGGTTGGATATTGGGTTAATTGAATTTTGCGGTATATAGGGGTTTAGGGGGTTGGGCTTTGAGGTTTCCGGGCTTGTTGGGTTGAATATATATATATATGTATATATGTATATATGCAGAATTTTAATATGAATAATTATATATATATATATGTGAAGATTAGGTTGTCCGGTTGCGACGTAGGGCTCCCGTCCAATTACGCTAGGCTTACCAGATTTTAGGGTTGAGGTGATGGGGTTGGGCCTTTGAAGGGTATTGCTTCTGGGTTTGGTTTTTAAGGGGTTATAGCGGTTAAGTACAGGTCTTGGGGCTTTGGCTGGGTTCAGGGCTTAGGATTTTAGGGGGCCCTGCTTTGTTCAGGTGTCTATACGGTGATGTATATATATATATATATATATGTATATATATATATATATAGATAGATTGTAAGCTTGTAAACATGCTCATATATATATATATATATATATATATATATATATATATAGCAGTTCGTCAGAATTGCTATTATAATATATATATATATATATATATATATATATATATGTTTCCGAACTGAAGGATCCTGTCAGATAAAACACACACTATATATATATATATATAGATATATATATATATATATAATATGTATATGTATATCTATCTATCTATTGAATTCCCTGCTATCTATCTATATATATATATATATATATATTATACGACCACCAGGGTCTACACGATCACCCCCTAAAGTCGATCGAGAGCGCTTCGAGGCAGATGACGGACCCTTGATTCGCGAACGTCCTCAGTGGGATGACAACGACATCTCTGGCGAGGCTATGGGCCAGTCGGGTAACGAGCTCGAGTATCAAGACCTACCGGCTCAGCAGTCGAAGCTGTGGTTTGTTTGCATTTCAAAATCCTAATATATATATATATATATATATATATACTATAGGGATTTTTTTGATTTCTTGTATAGTATATATATATATATATGTTTGCTTCTGGGCGTGGTGGCTGAGGAGATCTGCGGCCAAAGCCGCGGCCAAAGCGAAGGGTGATGGCCGTGGTAGGGGTCGCGGTGGCCGTGGCCGTGGGGGCCGTTCCGGCAAGCAGGGAGAGCCTGGCGAAGGTGCTCCGGTGATTGCTAAAGCTAAAGGCAAGAGTAAGCCGAAGGCTAAGGCTGGGAAAAGGGGATCGGCGGAGAAGGATGACGCCGAGGCTGCCCAGAAGCTAAGCGCGATCGAGGCAGCAGCAGCTCCGGTTCCGGAGATCGCGGTCCAGGCAGCAGCAGCTCCGGTTCCAGAGATCGCGGTCCAGGCAGCAGCAGCTCCGGTTCCGGCAGCAGCAGCTCCGGTTCCGGAAGACGGGGATGGGGGTGAGCCCGAAGCTAAGAAGCGTCGCACAAAGAAGAACACGTACGAGATCGATATCCCCTCCTTTGAAAACTTCGAAGCCACCCAGTTGATCATCAATATTTCGGATATTGCAGTTGCGCATAGGAAACCCAAAGCTACGCATACGGTACTACAATTCCAAGGTGATGCCATATTGGAACCGCTGGTGTGTTGGAGTGTGTCGCAAGCTTGGCACCAACAAGAAGAAGCAGGCAGGGAGATACGTTGACTTCGAAGCTCCTGGTTGGAATACACACGTGTATTTGAGTATTAAAAATCTACATATATATATATATATATATATAAATATGTATGATTTTATATGTAGTTTTCCACACATGCATTTACACATGAGCTCTAGAAAATAATGTACACACCGTACATATGTGTGCATGCCCTCGACCCTACAGCCCAATCCCTTTCATAACTGAACCCGAGGATTGAGCTCTGGATACCCCTGTCATGGCCACCTCGCACCTCAGTTTGTCAGTCGTTTCGATATAATATATATATATATGTGTATATATATATATATACATATATATATATATATATATGTCATTCGTTCAGTATTAATGTTGATCTCTGCATATCCATCGTAGTTGTCGATCTGCATATAGCTTAATTAATGTGTCTCTACTCTTGCAAATGCATTCTAGCTCACCGCGAATACTATAGCTTATAATCGATATCCCCGGCCCTGCTATACAGATCTTGCACATCAACGGTGGCACCGATCTCGATGAAACGCAGATGCGTGCCGTGGTGGACATATGCATCAAGGCAGCCACTCGCCTATGGAGCGTAGTGTGTTAATAACCTGCACCAGGGCTTTCCCTACTACTGGCCCGTGTCGCTGTATAATGCCGATTCCCAAAACGGAGTACAGTAATTATTAGTGACCGTATCTATATGTACTTGCTACGCCCCGAACAATAACCAAAAGGCGATCCGTTCCCTAACAAGCGGTGACTTTCGGGCTTTTGCTTTGCTTCGAGGAAGTTAAGTTAATGGGGGGTGGATGCAGTTCATTTTCGGGGTGTTGGTCTTCGAGGTATGAGTATCTCATGCAGCCAAAAATACGAGCTATACATGTACCCAGGCCAGGAAGCTTCAGGATGGGGTCGACTACTTCCAGGTGCTCGACGAGTTCGAAGCCGATAGGGAAACCCTCATCAAAACCAGAGACTGAGGATTTGGTTTAAATTGGCTGAGCAGTTGCTGCTTTTGGAAGCACGTGGGCTAGGAGACTGCAGTGTGCATTTTAACACATATTCGATAAGCTTATCCGTACTGCACATGTACTGCTCCCTGGGGGCCATAGTGCTCATGCTGTCCGGATGCCACATGTGTTTTGCAAAGCAAGAGGGATCGCGCTGATCCCGAACCCGCTGCTGAAGTGTCCGCTGCTGCATGTTCGAAGGGGTATGTCATGCAGGTCGATGCAAAAAAAATCCGGAGCCGCAGTGTTGGTTTCTGATCCTTGAGCGATACATGCCTGTGTACGTTTGAACGTGTGTGCTTGGGGAGCTGCTTCACAGCGTGCAGGTGGAAGTGCCGGTACAAAGCAGCCTCAGTTACGTGGTCGAAGCTCGCAGACTAGGTCACTGTATCTACGTAGGTGTCGACAGTTGCATACACAGTTCCTGTGGCAAAAGCGTGCTTTGTGAAGCTTTTTGTTTCGGTATCCCGACATGGCGCTCACTCTTTCGAAAGTCGAAGTTGCAGTGCTCTTGGCCCTCGGGGCTCCAGGAATCTTGAGTCTTGCTTGCATGCAGGTGAATTACTGGTCTGCTGTTTGGTTCCCTGCATGCCGCATTGCAGCTTTAGTGCAGCTATTTTCGTACCCGCCCAGGATTCACATCCTTGACTACGTCATCCACCTGAGTAACAAGGATTTCACGGACGAGGCAACGAGCTCTCCGGGGGGGAAGGGGGGGCAGAGGCCTCAACAATTTGAAACAACACACTGCTGTGTGATTGGCTTTCAGATTGTGCAATCGAGATCACCATGTGCACTTACGGAGCAGCTTCTACTGGGTGTAAAGCGAGGCACAATTATTCCTGGTCAGAGTTGTTCATTGCCCCGGTCAAAGTATGTGTTTGTGTGATAGTCCCGTAGATTATAACATGTCACGTATATGTTGAAAAACTAACCCTATACATGAAACTATATTTATCTTTCTGTAAAGCCCTTCAATTCGTTTATTGGCTTCGTGACAGCTTGGATTTGTGGTCTGGTTATAAAGGTTTTTAGGCCTTCGGTATACGTAGCGGATAGTACGTCCAGGTGTATATATATATAAATAAATGTAATATATCTATATATATATATATATACACATGTATATAAACAACACTGTGTTCAGACCTTCGGCATTCCAGTGTCTAGCCCTCATCCCCAATTCGGTTCTGTACCAAAGTACGTACAAAAGAAACATGCATTTCAGCGATGTCGCCGAGGACTTGGACTGTCTGGATGTGTTCTGTGGCTGGGGTGGCGTCCACCGCGCTTTCCGTGCTCGGGCTGCAAACAATATCCGACTTCGATTTTGCAATCATACACACATATATATATATATATATATATAGATTTTTTTATTTAT